TTCACCTAAGCATCAGCTGTTCGGTCTTTCAGCTTTATCTAAGCATCAGGTTCATAAATGGGAACAACTTTTGCAGATAACGGGTTTTTCGTTTGCTGAAATCTTGTCTCCAGTAGTGGGCTTCCGTATTTGTGAATCTTATGCTTCAGTAAAACTGAAAGCTCTCAGCTTTGTCTAAGCATCGGCTTCGCCTTGTTTGCTTCTAGCTTTATTTATCGCTTATTCACACATTACGAACAATACACACTCTCTGACAGCACGTTACTCACTCTTTTTTCTTATTTTCGTGTAAATTATAAGCAGCGATAGTAAAAATTTGAGTTGTAGCTATGTATAAGTGACAGTGCAGTGAATACTTTTCAGATATGCAAAATTAGGAAGGATTCCAGGGTAATTAAAAACTGACCGTCTACTCAAATTAACCTAACAACAAATATCTTCTGTACAGAACTGTGCAAAGCTCACCATCGGTACCTTGGTGCGCATCAATGCTAGCCCTATTCGTAAGATTTTTCATGGTAAAATTGCAGGAAAGTGCTGAGACTGCACCAGCAAAAGAGGGGTATATCGGACTCAGACATGCGGGTCTTGATCAAGTCGTCGACCAAAGTGAGTCTTCTTAAACAACTGTTAAAACTCGGCTCAGCTGGGCCAGGAGGCGGGGAGGGTCGGGGAGGGGGATAACGGTAGAAATACGAAAATGAGGGAGGAGTGAGGGTTGGAAATGGTATTTTGGATCTCGGGGAAGGAGGCTGGTTTATTATCTGGAAAGACCTTGATTGGACAAGAGGGGAAGAGGGGAGGGGGGATTTATGGGGGAAGAAGGGTGGATCCCTTATACTTCCCTCTTTTTTCCCCGCTCCTGTCTTTCCTTCTCCCTCTTCCCACTTCTCCGTTTTCCTGTTGCATATAAAGTACCTCCGTTAATATCCCTGTGACAATTTTCATGCATTTTGGAAACCGAAATTTTGTTTTTAAAGTGTAATTTCACTCGCGATCAGTAAAACGAGGAGGCTTTGACACGCATATTTTCATAATTTAATAGCAAGGCAAATTTTTACATTTTGAATAATATTTTATATTCCTGGATCCAGATGACTGTTTGCAACGCGGGTAAATTTCCGGAATTTTCAGGAATTTTGCAAATAGTTGCAGCTCCCTCAGCGGCCTGTTGGGGTTCTAGAACTACTGATTGTGAATTTTGATGTTGTCTTTGCGTTGTCTTTTCGGCAGTCCTGGCTGGGAAATTCGTTGCATGCCGGAAAGTGGCATGGTGGGACTCAATTTTTCAAGACCGTGTAAGTTTCAGTGCAAAACGGTGCGGCGGAGCTGTTGGATAAAATGGACATCAGTCAGTACAAAGTCTGTCAGAATGTTCGTGTCATCGCAGTGGATAATGTAACAGATATTGGCTCATCAGAACTCAGAGTGAGTATTAGCACGCAGTATTTTTTATAATTTGAGAAAAAAAAAATTATCTTTTTAGAACCGAATGATTTAAGAACAGTGCCTTCTACTATCTCCCGCTATCTCCATGTCGAAAGCAATAGCATGCGGGGAAAAAACATGATAGATACTGGATTTAACGAAAAGAGGGCACACTCGATATGGCTTTTCCCTCACTGACACGCTGTTGGTTTTCTCCAGCGACTGAGTCGACAACCACGCCACCGAGTTCTATCCTAAACTCGCCTCATCCAAAATACTCAGTATAATCGAATTAGCGGATCAGACGAACGCACTAGTGGACGCCTCATCCACAATTCTCCATATAACCGAGTTAGCGGATCGAATCAGCGCATTGGTGGCCACCCTATCATAAAAAAGTAAAACAAGTGAGGGGTTATAAATTGTTTGAGATAACAATGGTTATGTATATACACATGTTACATATATATATATATATATATGTGTATATATAACCTATGTGTATTTATGCGTAGGTGAAGGTTAGTTGTAAATGCAAATGTAGGATTGAGATGTAAAATGAATGTAGGGAATTAAGAAATGGCATTGAAAGGTTTCATTTTTTTTTCAGGCGCTTGTACGTTATGAAGATAATACAGAGCAGTTGGTGCCAACACGTATTCTCACTTTATTCGCACCTGCTGTAAGTCACTTATTTTCTCTTTCAATCAATGCTGATATAGGAATTAGACTAGAAATTTATGCTTTTATTTTTCTGTTCAAAAGCTGTATTATTTTCTGTTTGCCTGCAAATGATTCATGGCAACAGTGTAACCCCATGGGCTACAGGTGTCACTCATCCGATTTTTTCGGTTTCAGTAACTATATAACTGCCTCATATCTTTTGCTGATGTGTGACTTCCACCCGCTACTAAACAAAAGTGGTATCTTGTTCATCTTTTGTAAAGAATTATACAGCAAATGACCAACTGTAATTACGCTTGGGACAGAAAAACGCCGTAATTTTACATAAAATCGCGT